TTTAGCCAAAAAAGATGTCATATGAAGGAGCTATGATTTTTCAAAGATGACAACTAAATCCAGCCCGCAAACAAGTTTTATGAGGAAATGAGTCCAAATTACATTTCAAAGTATCTAAATCGATATCCAAGTTTTTATTTTAGTAATTTAGCTATCTAAGTCAAAGCTTGAAGATTTCATGTAAGGCTATTTAAAAAAAAAAAAAAACTGTTATTGAAGTACTTAAATGTAAACAGTCTACTTAAGGAAGGACTATTTTGTAAAATAGAGACTAAGGTTTTCTAGAATATAAAGAGAATGAGAGAAGAGAAGGAGGGAGTCAGCAAAGAGAGAAAAACACCCCCTCCTCTAAGAAACTCGAAATTATGCATTCTTCCTTCTTTTTGATTAGCTGTTCAACAAACATACAAGGCTAAACACTTTTTTTTTTAGTTGCAAGGACACAGAAACTTTTGGATTTCAAGAACTATGAGATTTATTTTACCTTTTCTTTTTAGTTTATATGTTGAATATGTTTGTTTTCTTATGCTTATTTTTCCTAAGATTGTTTATTTTAATTGCTAGAGCGAACTCTGAGTTATTATTGTAGATAATGTATTGCTAAGTTTGATACCAAAATCGGAGTTGTGGTATGAACTTGTGAAGCAACTGAGTTTAATAATTGTGGTGGATCTACATTATTAATCTCAAGGAGAACATTCAATCAAATCAAACATAGACTATGAATAGTTATGTTCTCTTATTAATCAACTTATCTAATTCTTAAGGCTACTATTGATTTAAATTACTAGTACGGATATTGTGGTTGTTTGATGGTTAGGGTTAGTTATATGGTGGATCCATTAACTAACCAATGTTAAGAAAAGATAAATATTCAGAATATAAATTGATATTTTGTTTCTATGATCAGTTCTGATTTCTGTAGGTGGATGTGTGTTTGCGACCAAGGTTTGTTCTCTTGATAATTTTCTGATTTTATTAAATTTCATTTGATAGTTTTCTGTTTTCTCTTGCTTTAGCCTAGATAACGTCCAAACCCCTTAAATTACATATCATTTAGCATAAAAATCTAACTTGAACCTTGCTCGTGGGATCAACCCATTGCTTGCTATATATTATCTTGTATGTTGTGTTTGAAGCTAGGGTAATTAATTTGTGCAATCGTGACATCGCAACACCACTTTGAACAAGAGTTAGGGTTTTCTCTTGTAAATATTCATGAAAATAAGATATTAACACATAACCATAATAATGATAAACAATTATAAACCTCTTCAAGATTTTAGATTGTATTATGTGTGTAATATCTTTTATTCTATAACAAGAATTTTGGTTTAATCTGCGGATACCAATAATTTTAGTAGGATTCAAGTTCTAATACTAATTAAAGGTTTAAATTACAAAATATCTTCTTGTAAGCATAATTATATCAAGTGAAAAGATATTCATTACAAACTAATAAGAGATTATTTATGTAGTTTGTAAATGAGCAAAGAAAGAAAAGATGTATATGCATTGGAAAGAAACACTCCATCCTAATGTTTATAAGTGTGGGTTTTTATTGTGTAATAAATTAAGCCATGATATAAGGACTCTTTTAGTAGGCTTCCTAATGCTATTATATAGATATTTATAATATCAAAAGATGACACTTGGAACTTAAAACTTAATATGTTAGTGAGAATAATTTGTGACTGTTGAGATAAAACTGAATAATAGCTATTTAGTTTAATTTAAAGTATAACTTTTTTATGAACAATTATATTGTTTCATAAATAGTCATACTATTTCATGAAAAGTCATATTGTTTCAAGTCTACAAAAACCTGTTACTACACAGAAAACTAACACAATAAAAAGTATATTCTTTTCTTAGTCCTATCTTCTCATTCTTTTGGAGGTTTAGAGAACTTAGTTGTATTATGAAGGTATTGTTTCTATGTAGGATAACTAAACACCTTAAAGACTATTTTTACATCTCTAAACCAACTCCATATTTGTTTCTAACCAAAATATTTCTTACAATATCAAAAGAAATGATGGCTTTGAGATTGATTTCATGACACTTTCCCTACCTGGCTTGTCTTTTTTATGATTTCTTTTTATAATTATTTCTAACCATACAAAAATTAATAAAAATGGCTAGAAACAACAAAATAATTAAAATTAATCAAATTTACTAAAAAAACATATTTTTAAATTTTATGTTTTTTTATTGAAAAGGTACTTTTTTATTTTTCTTTTTTTTTAAAATATGCAAAATAAAAGGTCAAAAATTAAGTTACAATAATGGTGGTAAAAACTTGTAGTAGTTTGGTGTTGAAGGTAGTGAGGATTTAGTTGGAGGTGGTTGAGACTTGAAGTAATAATGAGGTGGGGGAGATTTTGAATGTGGTGAAGGAGATTTGTAATAGTATAGTGGTGGAGAAGATGGTGAAGGAGGAGGTGGAGACTTTTAGTCGCATAGAGGGGGAGGAGATGATGAGGGTGGAGGTGTAGGTGGTGACTTGTACTAATAAGGTGGAGGTGGTGAATGAGTGGGTGGGTGGTGGTAGAGAATTGGAGGATGGTAGGGGTGGTGATTGTGAGGAAGGAGATGAGGATGGCGGGGATGGAGAGTTGCAAGATGGTGGGGGTGGTGATGGTGATAAAGGAGATGAGGATGATAGGGGTGGAGAGTTGCAAGATGGTGGGGGCGATGATGGTGATGGAGGAGACGAGGATGGTGGCGATGAAGAATTGCAGGATGATGGGGGTAATGATGGCGAGGGAGGAGGTGCTGATGGTGGTAATAAGGATGGTGATAGTGGGGGTGGAGAATTGCAAGATGGTGGGAGTGGTGATGGTAATAGAAGAGACGGGGATGGTGGCGGTGGAGAATTACAGGATGGTGGGGGTAGTGATGGTGAGGGAGGAGATACTAATGGTAGTGGTGGGGACGGTGAAAGTGAAGGAGGTGGTGGTGAGGAAAGAGATGTGGATGGTGGTGGTGGAAATGGTGAAGGTGAAGGAGGTGATTTGTAGATGTAAGACGGTGGGGGAGGTGGGGATGGTGACGATTGAGGAGGTGATTTGTAGATGTAAGATGGTAAGGGGGGTGAGGATAGTGGTGATGGTGGATGAGATAATGAAAATTCTTAGGAAGAAATCGATAGAAAATTAAGGAATTTAAGGGGAAATTGAGGGAAATTGTTCCCACTACATCTTAAGCATATTATCAAGAGAGAAAAGTGAGGAAAACCAGGGGGCAGTAGAATTAAGGGAAGGATTGGAAAATTTTAACAAGCTAAGATTTGAAGATTAGAATCACGTCTATTAAGAGATTCTAAACCTTTTCTAGCAATCTTATACAATTTGAACAACATTTAGAGTAGAAATTAGAAATTCCAAGTTAGGGTTTATGGAAAAATTTTAAGAGAAATGCAAATTGATTATGAATTCACTTAATTGAGTTAGATTAACTTTTAATAGATATTAAATTAGTAGGAATTGATGAAGAAAACATGAAAATCCTAAAGACATTCATGACAAGCCATGGGGTGTTAATTGATGTATAATAAAAATGTGTTTATTTAAGTGAATTGTGATTTACCAACTCATAATTTTGTGTGCAAAATGATTTTAGATAAGTTTAGTTACTTTATCTAGTATTATTGAATCGATTGTGGCATTATGATTCAAAACCTTGAGAATGGTTAAAAATTTTAGAGATAAGAGTAGTTGCCACTAGTTGATTTTGTGTAAGGAAGAAATTAATAAAAAAAATATATGTTTTTATCTTGTTACATTATTGTTAGTGTGAGTTATGATAAATGTTTGTGATAGATTAAAATGTATATAACTATGCTAAATGATGAACGTGTTTTTCCTTGAAATAGTTTTGGTTATTTTAAATAAATACAAGTCAAGTGATAAGTTTTAGAAAGTCATATTTAATGATATTCCAATGTAAATGATGTAGTGATAATTATTTTGAAAGGTGAGAAATTGAATAAAGATGCTTGATTTATTATAAAGTTGTAAAAAGAAAAACAGCCTTATCTCCTAAAGTCCAAAGAATCTTAAGGCATGAAAATGATAAGATTTGGGATAGATTTTTTCATAGAAGTCATGTTTTTAGGTGTTAGCTTTCCTACGAGACGGACTTTGCTTAATTTGAAATTCTAAAACACTAGATATAGGTCAAAATATGAGAGGAGGTCAAGCTAAAAATTTTATTGAACAATTTCGACAAATCATGATAATGAGTGGTTTGGGAACATTAATGGAAAACTGGACTTTCATTTCTTCAGTAAAAATGTAGCTTGAAATTTTATCTTTCATAAGAAATAAGCCCTAGACAAAACCAAATTTTATAACTTTAGTTATAACTAAAATAAAAAAGTGTGTTTTAAAATAGTCATGATAAATTGATTAGGGTTGGCTAACAATTATTTTGCTTAAGAGTTGTTATAATGTAAGAACTAAATTATTATGGTGGTTAAATGAGATATAATGGGATATACTTGTTGTTATAGGAGAAGTCTCGAGAGCTGTGCAGCAACAGAGGGATACGATAAAAGCTTTGATAGCAGGTAGGTGCTTAGCACCTTGATTCTTTTTTTTTTAAAAAAAAGAGAGAGAGAGGTAAATTAATTTCTAACGTAAAATTTTAATTCATGTAATTATATTGAAAAGAAAAAACTAACTACCTAGTAATGAGATTAATGCTAGGTAATGAGGAAAGGAAATAGCTTTAATGGAACTAGTGCTTGATAATGAGCGAAGAAATTAGCTTTCCAGTAATACGAGTAGTGTTCTGTAATAAGTGAAGGAATTAGCTTTCCGATAGTAGAACTAATGCTCGGTAATGAGCAAAAGAACTACCTTCTTGGTAATAAGATTAATGCTTGGTAATAAGCTAATGAACTAGCTTTCCGGTAAGGAGACTAATGTTCAATAATGAGCTAAGAAATTAGTTTTTCAATAATGGGACTAATGCTATATAATGAGGGAAGGAATTAGCTTTCCAATAATGAAACTAATGCTTAATAATAAGCAAAAGAACTAACTTTCCAGTGATGGAATTAATGCTCAGTAATGAACAAAGAATTAGTTTCCTAATAATGGGACTAATGCTTGGTAATGAGCAAAAAATCTAGCATTCTTAATAGTACGGCAAGTACTCATTTATGAGCTAATGAATTAGCTTTCTAGTGAAGAGAGTAGTGCCTGGAAAATAGGCAGGGAGACTTAATTGTTTGGTGATAGGTTATCTCTTGAATATGAATGATGAAAATAAATACCCGAATGGATGAACAAATTTTCTGAAAGGGGTCAATAATTCAAAGTTGAAGGTGACTTTAACTCATATTATTTAATTAAGATTAAATTAGTTTGCAAAAGAAATTATTGATATGGATATAATATAGTTGAAATGAAAAGTAAAATTTTAAGGTTGTTTCTTTTGTTTAATTTTATTTATTAAGGAACTTCACCCTATTTTATTTTGAATTAATTTCAAGTACTTCACATCAATGAACAGATGAATAGATAATTTTATGATTTTTTTTTGTTAAATTTAATGATTATGTAATCCTGTATTTTTTTTTGTAATGTTTATTTGGCATGTAAAGAATGAGAATTCCCTTTTGTCTACTAAACTATTTAAATTAGAATATGTTAATAAAATTTTGTGAATTATAGCTCTTTGTTGTTATAGAATTATGATTGTATACAAATGACTCATAATGTTTAATGATAATTAGTATATTTGTTTATATATTTATATGATGAGTAAACTATTATTATAGATGTGCTGGAATATCAAATTAAAAGTTAATATAATTCATTTAATATGAGAATGTCCATGATGATTGGACGAAGTTCAAGTTTCATTTTGATGATTGTTGATTTAAGAATAGATTAATTTACTTATAGTTGCAATTGCATATAAAAAAATTCACCAAAGAAATGGATTAATCATAAGGAAATGAGATTTAAATGGTGTGTGAAAATTAGGGTTGTTACAAATAGTTTGATTCTACTATATTATTCAATAGTTTTACCTATATTTACTTAGTATTTTGCCCTTATTTTATATATATAATGCATTGATAATCTTTATTTTATATTTTAAAAACACTTTTGGATGTAAAATTTGAAAAAGAGTAAATTGAAGATAAAATTTAGACTATGTTCTAACATGTGTCGAATATTAATAAATTTGACTTTTGATAACATCTATATCTTTCTATACATATATGAAAAGAAAGAAAAAAACAAGAAAAGGTATGGAAATCACAGCTTTTAAAAATAAATATCACATTCTGTTAGATTTGACTTCAGTCATTCCAACTTAAATATCTTAGATTAAAGAAGTTCATTTAATGTAAACTTAATTGTTTTGGATTCCTGACTTAAATACCTATCAACCTACCAAATTTCAATAAATAGATATGTTGTTTTTAAAACAACTCATAAATTCTGCCAGCAAATAAGTTTTAAGAAAAAACAAATCTAATTTACTTCTAAGTCATCCAAACTGACATGTAAATTGTTTCTTTATATGGAAAAAGTCTTTAATTGGACAAGTTAACTTCTCTAAGTCCAAAGTCAAAGTTTAAGGATTTTATGCAAGAATTTTTTTTTTTTATTTTAGAAAAATAGTTATTGTACTACTTAAATATAAATTATTTATTTTGAAAAATAATTTTTTTTTAAGGATACAAATGAATTGAAGGGATGTGAAGATTAGGGTTTCCTATCAAATAAAAAGAAAGAAAATGTGGTGGCTAAAAAGAAAAAGAAAACTCCACCCTTTTCTCCTAAACACGAAATTATATTCTCATTTGTTCTCTTTATTAGCTTTTTGATAGACATGCAAGGTTAAGTTATTTATCTTGGTTAAAAGGATACAAAAACCTTTAAATTTTAAAAATTATAAAATATATTCTATCTTTTCCTTTCAGATTATATGTTGAATATGAATGTTTTTCTATGTTTATTTTTTATAATTGTTTAGTTTGATTGTTAGAGTAGATTTTAAAAATTATTTTGATGTATTTTTAAGTAAAAACTACTATTGAAAAACAACCATAACAAAACATTTTATACATATTTTTTCCTACATATAAATCTCAATAAAAAATTTTACCAAACACTTATCTAAATCTAACTAATCACACCTAATTATATTTTTTTTAAATTTATTTTTTAAAACTACAATCATAAAAACTAAAATTACCTAAAAACAAATACACTCTAAAAATATAAACTAAAAAAAAAACACCACACTTATCCCATCAAAAAAAAAAATCTCCAACGAAAATCTAATTAGTGGGCTTTGGTGTTTAAATATTTTGGGCTCAGGGCTGACCTCTTTCTAAATTCCCTTCTTTTGAGTCGGGCTGACAGCACTCGAATACATAGACGGTCGTCTCCGGCTAAAAGAGGTAACGAATTGAAAGTGGTGAATTGCTAACCGGAGAGGTAAGTCTTCTCTGGATTTGATTTACTTGATTTTATTTTCAATTCCCAAATGACCGAAAACCTTATTCTTGTTTTGTTTATTTTCAAAAAATTGCTTTGATCTATCTGCTGTGAAGACTCAAGAGAGTGGGATTGAGGTCAAGATGGCCTATGAAATAAATGAGCAAAAGAGTGAGTACTCCTTTTCTACTTAATAAGAATTTTCTCTCGCAGTTCACAGAGTATTGTTCTCGAGAAATAAAATTCAGCTACTGTTTTGCAGAAATTGGATTGGGTCTCATTGGCTTTGGCATCTTTTTTACCTTTCTTGGTGCGCTTCTCTTCTTTGATAGAGGTTTGCTTGCCCTTGGGAATGTAAGGCTGTTTTTTTTTCTCTTCTTTCTTAAAGATTTTACTTTTGACAGAGATTTTCTAAATTTCTTGCTTTAATCTTGTTCTGTCTGTCTGTCATCAGATATTTTGGTTATCTGGGGTAGCCATTTTGCTTGGTTGGCGTTCTACCTGGAAGCTCTTTACTAACAGAGCAAATTATAAGGTATCGATCAAATAGGACATCTTTTTTATTGTTTTTCTTGCTTACTGCAAACACATGATATCTTATAACTTTGTTTTACGGACTTCCCTTGCTTAAAGTAAGTGGAAAAGTTTATGCGTCTTTGCAATCTAGCAAATATCTGACATGCTTGCTTGATTCTCATGGCTAAGGAAAATCCTTAAAGCTGCATTGCGACCCGCTGTTAAGTAATATGCTCTACAGGATTGATGCGAGTTAACCTTTTGTTTTGTCTATCTTGCATTCACTTTCATGGCCAAGGAACATTCTTAAAGCTGAGTTGCTGCCCACGTTTAATGTCCTCTACTAGATTAATGTGAAAGGCCTTTTGTTTTCTCTATCTTGCATTCATGGGCAAGACATTGATGTTTTCCTTTCAAGTGCTATGAATCCTAGCATCCCTCTTCTGTGTAGTTTACTCTAGGGGGTTTTAACATTCATTGAGAAAGGGAATGTTGGAGTTTGAAATGATTCATCCTGAAAACTGAAACTTTACTGTTTGATATCTAAAAGATTTGCATCTTTTCTTGGTGCAATACTCTGTTGAAATTCATTTCCATTTTTTTTATTCATCTGCCAATCATGTTTTTGCCAAAACGTTATCAAGTGCTCCTGAGTCTGGATTAACCCCCGTTCTTCCAATAACGACATGGAAATGTGCATCATATAAAACTTGGTAGTGAATTCTAGATTGGTACTGATTACTCTAAATTTGAGGAGATATATCCATGCGTAAGAAATCAGAATTATACCATTTAAGGATAGACGGAATTTGAAATGCATATAGATTTTATTTTAAAGTGTTCTTTCTTCTGCAGGGTTCTGTTTGTTTTCTCCTGGGGCTCTTTTTCATATTTGTTCGGTGGCCAGTAGTTGGAATTATCTTTGAAATATATAGTTGCGTTGCTCTATTTGGGTTAGTTTCTTATCTTTATCATAAGCTCTGAACTTTACTATTTCTGTTTTCTTTGGCTGAACTATTGCATTGCTGTTTTCTCCTCCAGTGGCTTTTGGCCTTCTGTCAAGGTGTTCCTCTATCAGATTCCTGTTGTTGGATGGATTATACAGTATCCTATAACGGTGAGTTCTTTTGATGCCTATTCAACCTTCAGGTTACCTTTGCAGCCTTTTGCTTTTGCAACGGATGACTTTTCCCAGTGCAATTTTTGCTTGCATGAAATGCGTTCTTGTTACCTGATCAAATTTATTTGTGGATGTATGTGACATCAACTATAGATTATTTTAACAGTCCTTTTTCTTGGAGGATTAAATTACACAGTTTACTGAAATTCTATACATAATGCGATTCCTGCTTCTGAAATTTTCCTGAAGTATTTGGCAATGCATATACACCTCATCAATAGTTTGTTATGTGACTATGGGGACTTCTATTGCATATTGATGGCAGCCTATTACATTCGTAGCTGTGAAAAGATTTTCCATGATCTTCTTTTCAGAGGGTTGAGTGCTGACTGAAAACCATTTCAGAGTTAAGTTTCCCAAGTATTTGCACTCTAGTCCTTGTGTTTTGGGAGAAAATATGAAAATAATCTTTTCAATCAAACTTTTTTCCTTGTGGTATTTGAACTTCGTTTCACCCTGATATATCTTTATTAGACTTGGAAGAAACTTACTTATCAGTTATCCTTTATCGTGAGACCAGGGCATTCTTCTACAACTGACCAATATATACATTAATGCAATTACTGCAGCTTCTTGATCACTTGAGAAGGGGCTCTGCTTGAAACGCTTGTTGAGATCTGACCTGTTATCCAAGCATGCGGCGACTATGTTTCTCCTTCATTGTTATTTCAAGAGGTAACTAGAGAGAGTAGTTTCAAAAGTTTAGCAAATAGCAATTCATCACTGCATGAAAGAGAGAACCATTTGGACAGGTGCCATAAGTTTTTCAAAGACTTAATTTGTCATACGGGTTTGGTTTCTGGTTAGTTGACCCATTGTTTCGGGACGGTGCAGTGGTGTTCTGCAAATAAAATGATTTTCTAACAAGTATAGTTGTACAGTTTCCGTCAAGTAAACAACACTCACCAAAAACAACAAATATCATTTTTATTTTCTTATTTTATATTGGATGCTTTTGGGTTTGGTGATGTACATTTGCTTAATGTCTTTAAGCCACGGCTAGTCTCTGATATTCTATGTGCCTTTGAAGATAACCCCAGCTGTGGTTTTGCACACTATTCAAGCGGGGAGAGGAAGTGATAGCTCCCTTCCATGGCTGCATGCCATTATGCTTACCCAACTTTTTGCATCCGATTTCTTTATGGCAACACCACTATGGCCGGGCAGCTGGTATTGGAGTCAAACATAAAAACTTAAGAATTAAACACTTTCATGACTTCCCACACTCAACTTCATTGTGCTTAGATTTAACGAGCAAAGTCTCTAGCAGGTCATGCACGAAAAGGGTGGGTCTTGAAAGTTTTCGTTGGTTTTTTTTTTTTTTTTAATTTTCATCCTCATTTTTTTATGTTCAAATTAATGATCAGTTTATTAAAAGTTGTTGAGAAAAGAAAAAAAAAATCAAGAACAGGGGATCAAGGAGTAAAACAAGAAGAAATTTCATGACTAATTTCAAGTTCACTAGAAAAAAGTATGTTTAATCAACTTATTTTTTCTTTTTTTAACTCTAGTTCATTTAGTATTTGTAATTTTGATTTTGATCTAAAAATTCGTTTATGTATTTATTAATTTATTTTATAAAACATAAATAGTATTTTTTTTATTTTTCAATTAAAAATTATTAAGAATTAAATTTTATAATTTATTTCAGTTTTTTTATAAATTTATTGTCATTTCAAATGAATATCTTACAAATAGATTGACTAATTTATATTTTACTCTTATTGTGTTGATTTCACTGGTGTTTTAATCCTAATGTTAATTCTATGATGGTGTTTTATTTTTTTTAAATGTTTTTTATTTGGGAATATATTAAAATAATATTTTTATTTAAAAAATATTTTTACATCAACATATTAAAATAATATGAAAATATAAGAAAATATTAATTTAAAATAATTAAAAAAAAACTTTTATTAATTTAAAATAAATAAAAAATAATAATTAAAAAAAAATCCTAAAATGTAAGAAATAGAATGTAAATCTCAACGAGGTTTATAATTACTGTTACTATAGCCTATCCGAGAACTCTGCTCCTATTTTCGAGGTAAAAACTACTCAATTTACTAGACAAAATATTAGAGTGAAATTGAGATTTCCTAATCGAAATCAAATTAAGATTATTCAGATATTTCTTCCGTGCTCGGGGGATGAAATGGCTCGCAAGCATGTGTCTGCGTGATACATTTAATGAGAGGATGGCTGAGTTATAATTAAGCAGGCTAAACCATAACACGCCATTTTTTTTTAATTTTCATCCATTTTTGTTTTTATGTTCAAATTAATTATCAGTTTATTAAAACTTGTTGAGAAAAGAAAAATAAATTCAAGAACTAGGAATCAAAGTGTAAACCAAAAAAAAAATTTATGGTCAATTTCAAATTTATTAGAAAAAATTATGTTTAATCAATTTTTTTTCCTTTTTTTACTTTCCAGTTTCTTTAATTTTGATCTAAAAATTTATTTTTTAAACATTTTATTTTATGAATTTAAAGAAAAAAAAAGAAACCATGTAAAAACAATAAGAAAAAAATAAAGTTAGTGAATAATCACTTTTCAATAACAAAACTTATTGTTCTTTTGTATCAACCAATTTCATAAGAGTTTGATAATAATAATTTTTTTTCTATGAACATAATTGAATAAATAGATCAGGTTTCATCTATATTATTTTATTTGGTTGATTTTAAGGTGTTTTATGGTTAGTAAGTGGTTTATGGTTGGAAAATGGTTTATGAAGATTTTTTAGGTGTTTTTTTATGTAAAATAAATTAAAAAGATGAAAAATAAATTTAAAAAACTCTTTTTTTTTTGCCATTACAGTAGTGGTTAACTTCTAGATAACAATCTAGTCCGCGACAAGTCACCTATCATTATACAGGAGACCTATTGTAAAATAAATAAAAAAGTAAAAGTGGATAACATATTATTCACTCGTGAGCTGAGGTTTTTTTATTAAATTTTTTTTATTCATTTTCATTTATTAGTTTTATCAATTAGTTTTAATTTTTTAAATAATAATTGTTTTTTATATTTTTTTAGTTGGAAGATTTTTCAAAGGAATTAGTTTGATTTGTCCTATAAAATAATTTAAAATAAAAATAACAGCAAGTGTACTTCTATTTTTTATTTCTATATAAAGATTATCTCTCTATTTTAATACTTAATTGTTGTTAACAACTTCTCTTAATTTTGTACTTATTAATTTATTTTATAAAATACAAACAATATTGTTTTCATTTCTCAATTAAAAAAATATTAAAATTTGAATTTAAAAATTTATTGTACTTTTTTATAAATTTATCGTGATGTTAAATAAATATCTTGACAAATAATTTGTTTTAGAAAACAGGTGGGTTTATTTATGTTTTACTCTTATTTTGTTGATCTCACGGGTGTTATATGATTATTATACGAGGGGGTGATTGAGAGTATAATCAATTGTTTTTTTAAATTTTTTTATGAAAATATATTAAAATGATATTTTTTTATTTTAAAAAAATTATTTTTAAGATTATTATATCAAAACAATATAAAAATATCAAAAAATATTAATTTAAAATAAAAATAAATAAAAAATATTTTAAAAATACTTTTAAAATATAAAAACAAATGAGATCAAAATTTCTAATGAGATTTATAGTTAGTCTTGAATTAATTCATATATTTCTTCCAAGTTCGGGGGATGAAATGGCTCACAAGTATGTGTCTGAGTGGTACATTTAATGGCTTACAGGCATTAATGAGAGGTTGGCTGAGTTATAATTAAGCAGGCTAAACCATTACACACCGTTAAGGTTGTTGAACATTAATATAGATTACTCCTAAGTATACCCTATTAAATATGAAGTTAGTCTTAATTAGAGCCAACCATATTTTAGTTAGCCGATGAGAAACTTCTGCATTCATTACATGAATGCGTATCTCTGCTGCCCAACAAAGTAACTTTAGAAAGAAAGAGTTTATCTTCATGCGAGAGCAATCAATTCCCGTGTACTATGTTCACGGGATCAATGTGTACATATATAGGAGGGCAAGTGTTTTTTTTTTTTCAATTTAATTTCGGATACTCGGAGAAATATTGCAGAATTAGTTAAAAGGTCCAATCAAAAGAGAAAGGTGAGCTAAATAGTAAATATAAAAGGGATTTTATCTACTCCATTTGTTCCAAAATGCTAGTCGAATAAGAGGAACGAAAAAAAATTGTTTACTTCCTTCTCATTTTTATATTTTTTTTTTACAAAATTTGTAAGTATAAATTCAGGTTTTTTTTAATGTTTTTATTTATCAGAATATTCATGGCACACATAAACTCTCAGAAAAAAACATGAGATTCGGTCATTGAAAATACAACTCAAGCTTTTTAAAATGAATTAGCCAAATCCAAATTTATTCCTTTACCATTTTCATTTCCGGAATGTAGCATGGCCCAATTATCAAGTAAAAAAAGTTAATTTTTCAAAGGGAAAAAAGAAGAAGTTATTTGCTTTGATTTTCTTAAAAGTAAATAGAATTATCTATTTTTTGTTTCAATTTTCAAATTCTAGGAAATATAAATATAAATTTATTTGTTTTGGTTTTCTTTAAAGTAAACTCAACAACAATCGTAATAGTCTTTGAAAACCATTTTGTTTCGTTTTTGCAAATTAACATTGGCAATCGATTGTTGACCTTTTATATTATTGAAAAAAACAAACAGATAAATATAATTTTTAAGAACAGAAAACATAAATTAAAAATTGAATCAAAGGACTAGCTAGTAGTTAATAGAAAACTAAAAGCGTGCTAGCATTCAAGATTAGATGCATTTAACCACAAATATATTGCATGGCATAGCGGTAGGTGGAGAAGGGGCATTACATGCTCAGGGGTAGGCATGTGTAGCATGAGAAATTATATATAGTGTTTGTTTTTGTATTTTAAAAATATTTTAAAAAATTAAAGTTTTTATATTTTTTTAAATTAATTTTTTATATCATTTTAATGTTCTAATTTAAAAATAACTTTTAAAAAATAAAAAATATTATCTTAATATATTTTTAAATAAAAAACATTTAAAATATTATCCAAAGACAGGACGGCCATTAATCCAATGCTGCTGGGGTGTTCAATTCAATACTTTGAAGGGGAAAGGTTGTCGGTACAGGTCATGAAGGAAACATTAAAAACACCATTAAATAGGGTTCATGCCCCAACAACCGAGTGAGAGGCGCTCTGTTATTTATTATTGTTTGTTGGAACAGCTCAAGATCGCTCAGAACATCACACTTGTTAATTCCCAGCTCTTAATCCCTCCACTAATTATCATCACTCCTAGCTAACAATGTGGCGATTAAGTAAATTCTATGCAGTATTAATTAGGTGATTAAAATCCTATTAATTAATATCGTGTGCTTAACTAGATGAGATGATACAGGAATGTTGGATTGATATAGTAAGGAAAAAAAAACAGTATTTTACGTATTATAAAATTACAACTCAGAGAAAATTCTAATTTAATAAACTGTAAACCACAATAATTGTAATTTGTTCTAGAAATGAATTAGCCACTAACTCAAATCCTAGTATTTATAGAAAATGAATTCTTATTATAATCTATATAGGTAACATAGAATCTATTATAAACTAAATAATTTTAAAAGTAAAATAAATAAGAAAAATAAAAAATTCTGAATAATAATTTCATGGCCTAAATAGTATACATAAACATAAAATTTTAATCTGATTCAATAATTAAATTAAAATTTATTTTTGTTTGAGTCCATAATTGATTTGTTCATATATACCTTTTTTTTAAAAAAAAAAACCATCCCATGTGTTTCACTGTGATTTATACATATATATATATATATATATGTGTGTGCGCGCGCGCGCTACACGCTAATTAATGATATATTTCCTTTGTCAGTGACCATGATAAATACTAATGAGATTAAATTAACG